AATGAAGTTTCTGTTAGTTTGCTCTTAGAGTATGGAAATGCAACTGGTTTTTGTAAGTTGATTTTGTACCTTGCAACTTTGCTGTAGATGTTGATTATTTCTACTAGATTTCTGGTGGATTCTTTAGGGTTTTATATCTATAGAATCATGTCTTATGCAAACTGCAAAAGTTTCACTTCTTCTTTGCCAATTTGGATACATTTTATTTCTTTTTCTTGCCTAATTGCTCTGCCAAAAACCTCCAGTACTGTGTTGAATGAGAGTGGCAAGAGTCGGCAGCCTTGTCTTGTTCCTGTTATCAGCGGGATGGCTTTCAGTTTTTCACCATTGACAATGATGTTGGCTGTGGTTTTGTCTTATACGGCCTTTATTATTTTGAGGTATTTTCCCTCTATACCAATTTCATTAACAATTCTTATCATAAATGGATGTTGGATTTTGTCAAATGCTTTCTCTGCATCTATTGAGATGATCGTCTGTTGTTTATTCCTCATTTGTTAATGTGGTATATCACACTGATTGATTTGTGGATTTTGAACCATCCCTGATCCCCTGGTATAAATCCCACTGGATCATGGTGTATGTTCCTTTTAATATATCACTGTACTCAGGTTCCCAATATTTTGTTGAAGATTTTTACATCTATGTTCATCAGCAATATTGGCTTGTAATTTTCCTTATTTGTGTTGCCCTTGTCTGGCTTTGGGATCAGGGTGATGTTGGCCTCATAGAATGAGTTAGGAAGTGGTCCATCTTCTTCAATTTTTGAGAATAGTTTGAGAAGGATAGGTATTAAATCTTCTTTGAATGTTTGGTAGAATTCTCCAGAGAAGCCATCTGTCCTGGTCTTTTATTTTTTGGGAGGTTTTTGATCACCGTTTCAATCTCTTTACCTGTGATTGGTCTATTCAGATTCTCTATTTCTTCTTGATTCAGTTTTGGGATGTTGTATTAGTTTAAGAATTTATCCTTTTCTTCTAGATTGTCCAATTAGTTGGCATATAGTTTTTCACAGTATTCTGTTATAATCCTTTGTATTCCTGTGGTATTTGTTGTAATTTCTCCTCTTTCATTTTTAATTTTATTTATTTGAGGCTTCTATCTTTTTTTTCTTAGTAATTCTGGCTAAGGGTTTGTCAATTTTGTTTATCTTCTCAAAGAACAATCTCTTAGTTCTGTTGATCCTTTGTATTGTTTTTTCTTTTTCTTTTTTTTTTGTTTTGGTCTCAATTTCATTTATTATGCTCTAATTTTTATTATTTCCCTCCTTCTGCTCACTTTGGGCTTTGTTTGTTCTTCTTTTTCTAGTTCTGTTAGGTGTAGTTTGATACTACTTATTTGAGATTTGTCTTGTTTGTTAAGTTGGGCCTGTATTGCTATGAAATTCCCTCCCATGACCCTTTTGCTACATCCTATATGAGTCAGTATGGTGTATTTTCATTTTCATTTGTCTTCACATATTTTTTGAATTCTCCTTTAATTTCTTCATTGATACAATAGTCGGTCAGTAGCATGTTGTTTAGTCTCCACATATTTGTCACTTTCCCAGCTTATTTCTTGCACTTGATTTCTAGTCTCATGGCATTCTGTTGAGAAAAGATGCTTGATATGATTTCAATCGTAAATTTATTGAGGCTTGCCTTATTTCCCAACTTATGATCTATCTTCGAGAATGTTCCTGTGCACTTGGCAAGAATTTGTATTCTGTTCTTTTTGTATGGAGTGTTCTATATATATCTATTAAGTCCACCTGGTCTACTTTTTCCTTTAATTCCACTATTTCCTTGTTGATTTTCTGTCTGGATGATCTATCCGTGATGTAAGTGGGATGTTGAGGTTCCTTACTATTATTGCATTGTTAATTTCTCCTTTTAGGTCTGTTAATAGTTTATGTACTCTGTTGCTCCTGTGTTAGGTGCATATGTATATGTAAGTATACACTCCTCTTGGTGGAGTGTCCCTTATTATCATTATATATTACTTTCTCTGTCTCTCATTCCTTTTTTTATCTTGAAGTCTACTTTGTCTGATATAAGTATGGCAACACTTGCTTTACTTTTCTTTTGCCATTAGCTTGGAATGTCATCTTCCATCCCTTTACTCTGTGCCTGTGTTTGTCTTTAGAGTTGAGATGTGTTTCCTGGGGCAGCATATTTTGTGTTTTGTATTTTAATCCATCCAGTCACTCTGTGTCTTTTGATTGGAGAATTCAATCCATTTATATTTAGAGTGATTATGGATACATGAGGGCTTAATACTGTCATTTTATCACTTCTTTCCAATTTTTCTGTATTTCCCTTGTATTTCTGACTGCCAATTCAGTTTGGTGATTCTCTCTGCTGGTTTTCTCTGTCTTTTCTTTATTTATCATTTGTGTCTCTGTTCTGATTTTTTTTTAGTGGTTACCATGAGGTTTGTATAAAAGGTCTCATAGATGAGATAGTCCATTTTCTGATATCATCTTATTTCGTTAGTCTAAACAGGTTCCATCTCTTTCCTCTTCACCATCTAAGTTGTTGTTGCCACAACATATTCCATTTTGTGTTCTGAGTTTGTGATTAAAATGAAGTGATCACAGGTATTTTTGATGCTTTTCTTCCCTTTTATCTGTAACACTATAAGAATTTGCTAACCTGTTCTGATAGAGAGCTGCAATTTTCTGATTTTGTCTGTCTATTTATCTCCTTACTCAATGCCTTGTAAACCCTTTCTTTTTTTTCAGGTATGAGGGCCTTCATCATTTCTTGTGTGAGGGGTCTTGCATTGCAATAAACTCCCTCAGCTTTTGTTTATTGGGGAAAGTGTTTATTTCTCCATAGTATCTGAAGAATAGTTGCACTGGATAGAGTATTCTTGGCTGAAAGATTTGTCTTGCAGAATATTGAATATGTCATTCTCCTCTCTCCTAGCCTGTAAGTTTTCTGCTGAGAAATCCACTGAAAGCCTGATAGGGGTTCCTTTGTAGATTATTTTCTTCTGCCTTGCTGCCCTTAATATTTTTTCTTTGCCATTGAAGTTTGACAGTTTTACTAACACATGCCTTGGAAGAAGGTCTTTTTACACTAATGTAATTAGGAGTTCTATTAGCTTCATTTACTTGTAATTCCAGCTCCTTCCCCTGGTTTGGGAATTTCTCAGGTATTATTTCTTTGAAAAAGCTCTCTGCTCCTTTCTCCCACTCTTCTCCTTCTGGAATATCTATAGTCCTTATGTTGCATTTCCTAATTGAGTCAGATATTTCTCAGAGAATTTCTTCATTTCTTTTTAGTCTTAGTTCTCTCTCCTCTTCCATTTGAGGCATTTCTATATTTCTATCCTCTAAATTACTAATTCTGTCCCCCATAATATCACCTATAATTTTTTTTAAGGATTCCACTTTTTTCAATGTCTCATTCATTGTGTTCTTCATCTCCAACATTTCTGATTTTTTTTCTTTAATATTTTCTATCTCTTTTGTAAAGAATTCCCTCTGTTCCTTAATTTTATTCCTGAGCTCATTGAAATGTCTTTCTGAGTTTTCTTGTAACTCGAGTTTCTTATGATAACTTTTTTGAATTCTTTGTCATGTAGATTGTAAATTTCTGTGACTTCAGGATTGATTTCTGGATACTTGTCATTTTCCTCTTGGTCTGGAGTGTTAATATACTTCTTCATACTATTTGATGGGGTGGACTTTTGCCTTCACATAGTGGTAGTATCTTGTCACAGATTCCACCTGCCACCACTGTGGGAGCACAGCAGCTGTGTTTTCTGAGCCCACTGTGACCTCTGGCAGTTGTGCCTGGCCATTGGAAGCTGTGCCAACATGGCCCGTCTGTGTTTGCCTGCTGGCCACCACTGTTTTACACATGTAGGTGCAACTGCTGTGGCAAGGTTCCCCTGCTCTGGCCAACTGGCTGAGCTGGTGCACCATTAAGGAGGTTGGGGAGGGGTGCTTTCTTTTGACTGAACAATCCTGCACACTCACACTCTGCACTCACTGTCTGTCCATCTGGGCTGCTCAGTTTGTTGGGAATTCCCCCACAGTTGATTAGCCACCTCAGTATGGAACATTACCTCAGGTTAGGAAGCAACTCTGAGAGTGAAAGTATTCCCATGGAGGGCCACCTTTTCCCTCTTATCCTCTCACAGTCGTGTGTTGCCCACCACATGAGGTCCTACACCCTAGAACAATGCCCACTGCCACTGGAGGAGGGAGAGGTGATCTGCTTACCTCCTCCCACTACCTCCCAGGGGTGTTCCAGCACCCCCACCTTCAGACATATGGCTGTGTGGGTTTCTCAGATGTCTAGTGTGTTGTGTGAATGTCCTCTGTTATTTTATGAATGTTCATTTTGTTGTATCTTGGGGGCGAGAGACTAAGGGAAGAGCTCACTCCATGTTGATGCTGATGTCACTCCTCTTGGTTATATTTTTTAATTATAAAATTTTCATGTTTTAATTCTTTTAGTTTTTGCTGATAATTTCTGTTTCTTGGCTGTGGCTGTCTATTATTTATTCATTTGAAGGGTGTTCCTATATGCTCATTGAAGTATTATTATAATGTCTGATTTTAAATCCCTTTCAATTCATTCTCACATCTGTGTTATCTCAGTGTTAGCATCTGTTGATTATCTTCTCTTTCAAACTATATTTTTTCTTCTTGGTATGACAAATGATTTTAAATTCATATTTTCACACCATGAACATTTCCTATTTGTTATGAGAATATGAATCTTATAGTTGGCTTTCTCTAACACTGCTTGCCAGGGGAATGGAGATGCCAATCTTTTACTACTATGTGGAGATTGAAGTCTAAGTTTAAATCTCTGCATTGGTAGACACAGGATAGGATTGGGTATTCATTAGTGCTTGGTTGTGGTGGAAGTTCTGTTTCCCCACATGGTACCACTGACTTGTTACACAGTGGGACTTGCCTCATTACAAGTACATGATGGTGAGAGTCATGACTCCACAAGGCATGCTCTGGTATCACCACCAATGAAGAGGAGAATATTTACCTTATAACTTCTGGGTGTGGGTGGACATCCAGTCTCCCTTCCTGGTCTCCTCTAACACTGAATGGGCACTCATTACCAGTTAGTGAAGATAAAAGTCCTGGCTTCCTTCTTGGCTCCTCTGACACAGTGCTGGAAGGAGAGTTGGAGTGCATCATTACACACTCATGAGGTTGGAATTCTAGGCTCCCCACTTAATCTGTGGTTGTATAGGTGGGTGTAACACCATAGTTTATTTGGGATATTTGAACTTTCATGTTTTTATAGGCTGCCCCTTTCCTACGTCCCTTGGCTAGTGATAGCAGGGTTTTGTTAGGGCTATTTTGTTTGTTTTCATTGGCATTTGTACACTCCACATCTGGGATATATGAGGCAAAAAAGGAAACACAGGAACTCACCTCCATGTCATCCTTAGCTGATTTTCTTTCTTCTCTTCAACTTTCAGAGTCTTTTAAATTTTTTATGTATAATGCCCAGGATGTTTTGTTGTTCTTAGTTGGAGAAACATGGAAAAATATATCTACTCCATCTTTCCGAAAGCAGAAGTCTCCAGTTCCATATATTTGTTAATTGAGATATAACATATATCATAGAGTTCACCCATTTAAAGTATACAATTAAGTGGTTTTTAGTATACTCACAATATAGTACAACTATCACCACTATTTAACTTCAAAATATTTAATCACTACCAAAAGAAACCCCATAACCATTATCAGTCACTTCCCATTCCTTCTTTCTGAAGCTGCTGGCAACCACTAATTTAATTTCTATCTCTATGTATTTGATTATTTTGGACTTTTTGCATAAATGAAATTATATAATAGGTGGCCTTTTGTGTCTGGCATCTTTCATGTAGCATAATGTTTCAAAATTCACTCCCATTTTAGTATGTATCAATACTTCATTTAGTTTATGGCTGAAAAATATGCCAATGTGTGTATATTCCATGTTTTTTGTACATTAATCAATTGATGCATATTTTTGTTTTTTCCACTTCTTGACTGTTATAAATAATCCTGCTATGAGCATTTATGTGCAAGTATTTGTGTGAACATATGATTTCAATTTTCTTAGATTTATATCTAAGAGAAGAGTTACTGGATCATATAGTAACTCTATGTTAAAGCTTTTGAGGCACTTCTAATCTATTTTCCAAAGTGGCTCCACTTTTACATTCCTGATACCAGATTATTAGTGTTCTTGTTTCTCCACATTTTTGCCAAAGCTTATCATATCCTTTTAATTATAGTTACCTTAATGGAGGTGAAGCACTATCTTGTGGTTTAAATTTGCATTTCTAAAATGAATAATTATGTTCAGGATAGTTTCATGTGCTGTTTGGCCATTTGTATACCTTGCTTGGATAAATGTCAATTCAGATTTATTGTTCATTTTTGAAATTTGATTATTTATCTTTTGATTGTTGAGGTACAAGAATTGTTTATATATTCTGGATGCAAGATCTGTATCAGATATATGATCTTCAAGTCCTTTCTCCCATTCTGTGTAATACCTTTATACTTTCTTGATAGTGTCCTTTGAAGCAGAGAAGATTTTGTGATGAAGCCCAATTTAATTCTTTTTCTTTTTTTGGTTACTTGTACTTAAAGTATCATATATTTAAAAACACATTTCCATTTGTGAGGGCATGATAGTTGTCACTCATGTTTTCTTCTGAGATTTTTATAATTTAAGTTCATCATTTTAGGTCTTTGATACGTTTCTGAGTATTTTTTAAAAATATATACCATGAGTTAGAGGTCTAAATTTATTATTATGCATATGAATATCCATTTCTCCCTTCATTGTTTAAAAGACTATTCTTTATGCATAGAAACATATTGACACTTTTGTAAAAAGTCAATTGTCTATAAATGTATAGGTTTATTTCTTAATTCTCAATTCTATTCTATTGATCTATATGGCTATCCTTATGCCAGTACCATACAATTTTATTTACTGTAGTTTTGTAGTAAGTTTTGTAATTGGGTTTTTTAAAGGTTTTTTTGAATTTTCTTTGTCCCTTCCATTTCCATATTAATTTTAGGATCAGCTTGTAAATTTCTGGAAAAAAAGCTGGAATTTCAATAGAGTTTGTGTTAAATCTTAAGACTACTAAGGGAGGTATTGCCATATTAACAATATTAAATCATACAGTTCATGAATATCAATGTCTTCCTATTTAAGTGTTCTTTAATTTCTTTGAACAATTGTTTTTAGTTTTCAGTGAACAAGTCTTGAACCTCTTTTGTTAAATTCATTCCAAAATATTTTATTCTTTTCATTTTTGTTTTCTGCTAGGAAAGATTCACCCTGAGCTAACATCTGTTGGCAATGTTTCTCTCTTTTTGTTTTACTCCCTAAAGCCCCAGTATATAGTTGCATATTCTAGTTGTAAGTCCTTCTAGTTCTTCAATGTGAGCTGCCACCGCAGTGTGGATACGGATACATGAGTAGTGTGGTTCCACACCCAGGAACTGAACCAAGGCCACTGAAATGGAGTGTGCCTAACTTTAACCACTATGTTATCAGGGCTGGCTCAGTATTTTATTCTTTTTGATGCTTTGGAATTGAACTATCTTCTGAGTTTTATTTTGGATTTTTCGTTGTTAGAGTATACACATATAATTAATTTTTGTCTGTTGATCTTATATCTTTATGCCTTGCTCAAGTTGTTTATTAGCCCTAATAGCTTTCTTTCATGTATTCCTCAGTATTTGTATTAAAAAATTACAAGATCATGTCATCTGCAAATATACATTTATTTATTTCTTCAAATTTGAATACCTTTCATTTCTTTTTCTTTACTAATTGTCCTGGCTAGAACCTTCATGACAATGTTAAATACAAATAATTATAGTGAACATTCTCTTGCTCCTGATCTTAATAGGAAAACTTTCAGTATTTCATCATTTTCTTCACTATGGCTTTTTTGATGCAGAATTATATTTGCTGTGGTTTTTTTGTATGTTACTTTGGTTCTTCTGAGGAAGTTCCATTCTATATTTTTGAATTATTTTTTTAGTGTTTGCCCTGGAGTTTTATACTTAATATCTTAACTCATAAAAACTTATTTTGGATTAATGCCAATGTAATTTTAGTGGTATAAAAACTTTTCTCCTATATGGCTTAATTCCCTCTCCTCTTCTTTGTACTGTTATTCTCATATAAATTAAATCTTTATATCTTGTGTGCTCATTAACACAAATTTGTATTGATTTATGTAGAGGTCTTTTTAATCAGATGGGAGGAAAAATAAGTTACAAATAAAAATAATTTTTATGGTTACATTTACCTGTGTTATTTGTTGATGTGTGTTAGAGATATTCCCTTTCATTTCAGCCTGAAGTACTCCCTTTAGAGTTTTTTTGTAGCCAGTCTTTCAGAGACTATTTCTCTTAGTTTTTTTCCCCCCTGGGAATGTCTAATTTCTCCTTTATTTTAAAAAGGTTGTTTTACTGAATATAGAATTCTTGGTTGACAACTTTTTTCTTTCAACACTTCACATATTTTATCCCATTGCTTTCTTTATCCCATTGCCTCCATGGTATCAAATGAGAACTCAAATGTTAATCATTACTTTCACAGGATGAACCATTTCTTTCTTGCTGATTTTCATACTCTTTATTCTTTGGCTTTCAATGATTGATTATGACATGTCTAGTTGTGCATCTTTTTGAATTTCTTTCATGTAAAGTATGTTGAGCTTCAGTGATGTGTAGATTGGTGTTTTTCATCAAGTTCTGGAGCAATTTGGCCATTATTTCTTCAAATAATGTTTCTTCCAATTTCTTTTTCCCCTGTTCTTCTGGTGCTCACATTACGTGTATGTTGGTATGCTTGATGGTGTCCCATTAATCTCTGGGGCTCTGTTAATTTTTCATTATTTTCTCTCCCTACTCCTCAGAGTGAATATTCAATTTATCTGTATTCAAGTTTTCTGATTCTTTCTTCTGCCTGCTCAAATCTCCTGTGATACACTCTACAAAAATTTTTATTTCAGTTATTGCATTTTCAACCCCAGAATTTCTAATTGGTTCCTCTTTATAATTTTTATATCGTTATTGATAGTCTATACTTGGTGTGGAATTATCACATTCTTTCTTTTAGTTCTTTAAACATGCTTTTGTTTATATCTCTGAACATATTAATAATGTGTTGATTAAAAATAAACTTATTAAAAAATTAGCTGATTAAAAATATTTGTCTAGCAAGTACAACATCTGTACTTCTTCTGGGACAATTTCCATTGTCTACATTTTCCTGGATATGAGTCATTCTTTCTTGCTTTTTTTCATGAATAGTTATTTTTTTTTAAACTGAACATTCTAAATACTACAATGTAGAAGCTCTGGAAATCAGACTCCTCACTTTCTCCAGAATTTGTTGTTGTTCTGCTTTTTTTTTTTTCCTAATTGTTGTTGTTTTGTTTAGTGATATTTCTGAATGAATTCTCTAACATCTGCATTATTATGTAGTGTGACTTCCTTAAATGTCTTAGAACTCAAATTCTTCCAGTCTTTGCCATGGGGCTGTGTGCATGTTGAAATACACCTTCAACACTCAGCTAGGAAGTTGACCACTTGGCCTTAACCTTATTTCCTAGTTGTACAGATCCTCAAGGGAAGTCAGGCATTAGAACCTACAGCATTCTCATTTTTCTTCTTGGCATGTGCACAACCCTGGGCTTACACACAGCCCACACATGAAAGTTGCCTTCTAGATTCATAGAAATATGTCAGAGCTTTACAAAGACCCTATGGAAATCTGAATTCCCAGCTTCTCTTTCTTAGCTTTTTGGTTAGTCTATTTTCCCCCAACTGTTAGCCACTGCTTCAGGAGTATTTAAAGTTAAACAATTATTTGTAAGGTTTTTCAAAAAGGCTCTCATTGGAAATGATTTGAGAGATAGCTTTGAGTAAGGTCAAATACAGACAGCTTTGCAAGTGGAGTGCTTCTGGAAACCACAAGGCAGGTCAAATAATGATAACTTTCTTGGAAGGAAGTCTTGAATTATCTTTTACCTCATTCTTCTCCCTTTGGTTGCTTTCAGGAAGCTTTTTTCACTGGAAAAGCAGGCTGTCGTTTTCCAAGGCTACTATGAAGATGGAGAACGGGAGATGTGACTACAGCAAATTAAAACTCCATAAGA